CAAAACGGAGCGTGCTGCTCTGACCGGCTTTAAAGGGTTAAACCACGGCTGTGTAGCAGGTAGTAAACACACTGGAGCCGGTTACAAGTTTAAAAAGGTGCTTTTTTCTGTGGGCAGGCCAGTGTCAAACTCTTCTACTGCGAAGTCGGGCTCTTGGAATATGAGTAGATTGTGGTTTGCCCTCATGTGATGCTGCTAAGCCTGCAGAGGTGGTTGAGCATTAATGGGGCCTTCACAGAGCTCCAAGTTCTAATGTCTGCAGGACAGAGTTCTACTTTTCAGTTTGTCAGTTGGTAGCGCTGTTCGATATAACGATATATATCAGATAACGATATGAAAACGTCTTATCGTTTCATGTTATACGCTATAGGTGTCAAACTCTGGCCCGCGGGCCAAATTTGGCTATTAGAGCTGGCCTGCCGGTATTATACAGTGCATGTACTGCTAATACTACAATTCCCAGAATGCTCTGTTGGTGTTTTGGTGCGTCAGTCACGACAGGACCCATTAGCACCCTCTCTTCTGTTGACCATAGTCATAGCAACCATGCAAATACTGCCATGCTACCATACCAAAATGGCAAAAAGAAAGGCAGAAAACAGGAGCTTTCTGGACAGGTGGGAGAATATGATGAAAATTTGATAAATGATAAAATTTAATTCAGAAGGCTGCAAATACAATTTTTATTTAAGAAATGATTCCACTGATGTGTTATTTAATTGGAATTTAAATTTTGCATGTGTGCAATATTAAGTTATATATACGTTTATGTAAGTTATATATATTGTTTAGTATTAAGCTTTGCATGTTCCATATTCAGTTTTTCAGCAAAACTTGTTTGAGTCCATAAAAAAAGATTCCTTGTAATATTTGGAGGAAGATTTGTGTTGCCCCGCGACTTTGATCCAGTTTTGAATTTTGGCCCACTGTGTATTTGAGTTTGACACCCCTGTTATACGCTATCGTTTGTTTCATGGTGTCGCAAAATAAACAGTTTACAACAATATCTGTCATGGCTTTGATGGTCAGTGTAGAGGCTACATTAATTAAGTTCAATAAAGCTGAAGATCCTGTTGAGGTTTTTCAAAATAAACTGAAATGATGACAAACAGAAGGACCAGTCCAAACAAATCGAGGACCTTATTCCTAAACGAGGGGCTGCCTCTGTAGCATGGACATGGGTTGGTTATGAAACATCTGACACTGTGCAAATTACGCAGGAAACCGGCCCCCACCTCAGACTCAAACACGACAAACCTCTGCTACCACAACGGAAGAATCACGTGACAGAGTTTACGGATGAGAAGCAAAGAAGAGCCGTCAGCTGCTCCAAATAAACCCCCGACTCAAACATTAGAACGGGCTTTTCCCCGCAGCATGCCATGTAATAAATACCCACAAAGAGAATGGCAACCATCCCAACTTATGTCTAAAAATATGTAGTTCAATGCATCGGTCAAAACACTCAACCCCAGGTACACGACGCCCAGCTGAAAACATGTCATCAGGATATGAGATTTTGGTCGTATCGCGCAGCCCTATCAGTTGGGGTCTGATCCGGGATCAGAGAGGACAGCAGAGATGTCACAGTGAAAACCTGCAGTGTGCAGGTGTGTCTGCAGCAGACCCTCAGAGACTCGTGACCTCCTTTATCCTTTCAAACATCTTCTGCATGTCAGTGTTATAAAACCACACAAGCTGAGACTGAAGGAGTCACCTGGATGATGATGAAGCGTTTGTCCCACTGAAAACGTCCAGATGAAAAGAATCGACCGTTTGCATCTACGTACCTGGATGACTGAGCATCAAGACATTAAAACAGTCTGGATTTGCCACGTCTGTGTGATCAACAAAGAAGCATGTCCTGTTTTTGTGTAACTTTGATGCCTGTGCCGTGAAGCAGGATCATTTTAGGTACCCAGTATCCTCACCTGTAGATTTCCTGTTCATCGTCTAATCGTCTTTTTGTACATCGCTGAGATTGTGCGACGGGATGCTGTTTGCAGTGTGTAAAGCGTGTTTTCATCGGTTTATTTTTACTCAGTTTTTATCCGTAAGAACAGTTGCTCTGTGTTCATTAATCTCGGTTCTTGTCATCTCAGCGGGGAACAGAAATCAATCAGTTAGAGAGAACTCGGAGCAGCCGCTCTCCGGGCACGGCTGCTCAGATGATAACACAACATCTTCGATATTTAGCAGTGTGTAATTTTGCGTTTGAAGTCGTCTGTTTATTCCAGACATGAATTGCAAGTCACTGAAAGCTGTTGCATGGATGCTGTCCATGACAGGCTGAACAGGTCAAGCTTTTAAGGTCTAAACAGGAGAAACTAGATGAACAGCGTCCCTTTATTTCACAGTAATTAGTAAAAATACACAGTATTTGTGCTTCCTGACCATTTAAACATTTATATTTCAGAAAAAGTGAATTATAAAGTAGCCAATGTACAAGTAGGTTTATTTGCCATTAGATCAGAGTGATTTCCTGCACAGCTGTAAGGATGCAGATGCCGTTAAAGCCAGTATCTGCAGCAATTTAAAGCATCGC